TACTATATCATCAGAGTATTTGTAGCCAATAATTCGATGCACCCCATTCGACTTGATCCCATGGTCACACTAATTTGAAAATGTTTTATATTTGGGGTGAGCTTTCCACCCGCTCAATAAGTGACATACATAGTCAATAATTTGTGTAATGGAAACACATAATAAAATACTAGCCAAATGAGGAGTTTATAGTAAATATACAATATCTTTTGAAATCAATTTTATGCATAGAAATTAAGCAACGCCACACCTTATCTTGACAACTGTACTGCTTGCAACGATGATATGTTTAGAAAGGCTGCCTGTTGTGATGCTCTGTCTTTTACGTCATATTCCGCTAGATTGTCTGCTGCGGCAATCTGTCTACCCCGGACTGCCTATAGTAGTGATTTGTTCGTTATAATACCCTACTCCATTGATAGGCATGTGACTTAATTTATTGGTGTATACTATTAACCAATGAATAGTGCAATATAAGCATCAATGTGGTTCTGATATCGTTTGACAAAACCTCCATGCCATACATAGCCTAAGCAAAATCAAATATCCATGTGATAAATTCAACAAACACTAACTCATGTCTACAATGGTCATTGAATATCTTGAAACATGTGTTTAACATGAATTCAATGTTTGCACATCAAAATATAGCATTTGTAAGAAAATGATGAGAAAAATCATAAATTGAAGAATATGTTACTTCACCTACCAGTATTTCGTTAAACTCCAAGTTCCTCGCATGGTTCTTCAGGAGGTCCTTCTATGTCTCACTAGACTTTACTAGTACAAATACATACGTAAATATTAGCTTCCAACTCAATACATATGTTTGTACCAATACATTACATAACTACATTCTCAATTCTAGTTATCGTAGTGTAGAATCTTTCAAATTGTCTTAGAACAATCCTCAACATCTTTACATACTTTATGGTAGTGTTTTGAAGCTCTAGAACTAGTTTAATTGTCATAGGGGTATTTCTGCAATTTCAGAAACTGCAGTGGCATTTCTGAAAATTTAGAAACTGCAGGTTGGGCATTCTGTAATTTCTGAAATTGCAAGGGTTTTATTACTAATTTCTGAAAACTAAAGGCTGATCTCAAACATAAATTCGTAATCAAATAGATGTATCTTAATTATATCCTAAATCCAAAATATTTAACTGAAAATTGCACAATTGTACTCTCTACAATTAATAGTACAAAGTTAGGATTTACCTTAAGAAATCCCTTTTCTCCTTTTCTCTTCTCTTCTTTTCTTCTCCTCCTCCTTTTCTTTTCTATCTCTGGTTCCTGCTCCCTATTACCTCTTTTCTTTTTCTTTCTTTCTTTTCCTATTTGCCTTTGCTTTTGTTTGTCCTGCTCCTCCTCCTCCTCCTCCTCTGATTTCTTCTCTTTCTTTTATTTTCTTTCATCTTTCTTTTGTCTTGTTGTAGTCTGCAGCGTCCCCTCTTCTTCTATTGTTCATCTTTCTCTCTCTTTTTCTCTTGCTGGCCCAGGAACAGAGACATTTCTCTGTTCTGTTCCTTTGCTCCTTCTGTTGCTGGTTCCAAATCAGCGAGAGTAAGTGAGAGAGAGAGAGAGAGGATTAAGTAGCCTCCTGCACCTCTCCTGTTATGAAGACCGAGCGTGTCTTGCTTGTCACCAAGAATGCCACCTCAACATAAAACACTCCACCTCTTTCTTCACTCAAGGGACATGTGTCCCTTCCTCTCCCAACTTTACACCTCATCCTCCATCTCATCCTTCATGATGACATGTGCTCCCTCTTCTTTTCCTTCATGCCACCACCTATATTCTTGACCCCTCCCTCCTTACACAATAGCAATGTTACATTAAACGTTGGGCGCTTCTAGGCGTCGGACTTGACGCCCAGCGCTTAGTCGCCTAGGCGGGTGCCTAAGCGGTTTCTGGACGTTTTTTTTCTTTCTTCATTTAAGTGGTGGTCGATGAGGTTTTACTGAAGGTCGGAGGAGGTAGTGGAGGTGTTCATATTTGGAGGTTAATGGAGTTTGGAGGACGTATAGGCTACGACACCTAAAATCACAATCAAGGCCTACAGGGTGCAATCCACGTAAGCAGACAATGCTCCTCTAAACGCTCGTAAAATCTAGGTGGGCAACTTAAATACCGCCTAGGCGTTAGGCGCTAGTTAGGCGGCCTAGGTACCACCTAGCCCTAGGCGTATGCCTAAGCGAACTAGGCGGAGGTTTTTTAAAACAGTGCACAATAGACGTGTCCCTCCTCTCTCATATCGGTCACCTCCACAATCTATTACCCATTCAACAAATATCAACTAAATTTTCATAAAACCCTCATGATTCTCATATCTTTTTTTTTAACAATATTATATAGCTTTTTTCATACTTGCAAACATTTATTGGAAGATCATATCATTGATAATCTAATTCATACTGGCTCACTAGCTAAAACTTTGGGTTATTTCACCTTCTTTTTTCATATAGTTAATAAAAAAAAATGAATTCTTCATATACTATCTGTCCTTGCTTTTTGTTATCTCGAGTTACCATTGTGATGCTATAGGGTGTTTGAAAGAGCTTTTTTTTCAAGCTTATAAGTTATGCCGGATTTTGATAACTTCTGGCTTTTATGATAAAATTTTTATTAAACTTATATGGACCAAAAAGTCATTTGGTTGGTTAAACGTAGCTTATTTGGATGAGCTTATAAGCTAGTTCTTAAAAAGTTGGGAAATCCAACTCTTTTAAATGTGGCTTAAAAATTAGCTTATTAGAGAGGTCATCAAACAAGTAGATATGAATAAGCAGCTTATAAGCTACTTTGACAGAAAAAACAAGCTCTCCCAAACACTCTATAACTGAGTTGAGTTGATTTATTTGTTTTTAGAGCTTGGAGTGATGCATCAATCTTCCCAGTTTCCATTCTATGAAGTTTCATGTCATTCACTGAACTCGGTGGACAGTGGCTATGTAGTAAATATTAGTTCATTGTTTTATTTATACATATGCTATTGCTTCTTGAGAAATTATTGTTGATCTAATGTCTGCTTATTAGTATGCATGTGTCATGTGTGTGTATTACAGCAACAAAGCCTTTGTCCCAAATTTGTGGGGTCGGCTATATGAATCTACTCTTCCGTTTCATTTCAACTAGTTAAGCATTATCATACCATTAGTAGTTCTACCCAAGTCCTCTTAGGCCTATCTCTAGTCCTGCTTTCTATATTAATTATGATCTTATCACGCCTTTTAATTGGTGCATTTGGACATGACTAAACCCTCTCGGAGGATTCTTGCTCATTTTATTCTTCACAGGTGCAACCTCTAACTTACTAAGAAAAAACTCAATTTTATATCCTATCCCTTAAGTGTATCCACTCGTGCATCGTAACATTCTCATTTCTGTTCCTTTCATTTCTTGCGCTGTTTTTTTTTCCAATTGTCCAACATTCTGATCCTTAAAGCATCGTGGGTCTTATGACTGTTCTATAGAATTTTCTCCTGTTTTAGTGGTATTTTACAATTAAATAGTACTCCTGAAGCACTTAATTTTAACCATCCAGATTTGATTTGATGGCCCATGTTATCCCTAATCTCACCATTCTGACAAACGATCCTAAATAACATAAATAATTAGTCCTAGATGTCTCTTTGTCTTCAACATGTACTATACACTCATTCATTTTTATAGTTTTACTAAAATTGCATTTTATGTATTCAATTTTTATTTTACTAATTCTAAATCCTTCTTTTCAAATGTTTCTCTTCACCTTGCTACTTCACAAGTAATCCCTTCCCTGGTCTCACCAATCAATACTATGTCATCAACAAATAACATACACCATGGGACTTCATCTTGAATATGCCAAGTAAGCTTGTTCATAACCAATGAAAAAGAGAGAAGGCTTAGAGCCGGTGCTTGGTGTAAACTGATGATAATATAAAATGATTTTGGTTCTCTCTCAATTGTTCTGATCCTAGTTTTTTCTTTTACAAAACCCACCACATTATCTATCACAGGCTTTTTCTAAATCAATAAAAACCATATGTAGATCTTTCCGCGTCTCTCTTTTTCTCTCCATCAATTGTTGTAATTTTTAAATAGATTCCATTTGACCTGCATAGAATAAGACCAAATTGGTTCGGAATCCGGATGCATGTCTCCTTTGTTAGCCTTTGCGCAAACACTTTCTCAAAGTTTTGTAGTGTGACATGTAAGCTTAATCCTGTGATAGTTTAAACAACTTCTTGTATCTCCTTTTATATTGGTATCAAACTGCTAATTCTCCACTTGTCGGGCATTTTCTTAGTATTTATAATCTTGTTAAAGAATTTAGTCAACCATTCTAAGGTTGTATCCCAGGATATATACCCATTGCATGGGAAGTTTAGCAAGGTGGTCCCAAATATACATTGCAAAATGGAAGTCTTTCTACATGCATGCATCTCTTTTCATGACCATTTTCCACTCTCATTTTATGACCTAGAAGATTGTTTTTTTGGGTTGGAAATGTACCCTGCTGGAAAGCATCAAGCCACATCCTTTTGCAGAATATTGTGCTCCAAGTTTCTAGGAGTGGTGACAAGAGTTGAAACTCTGAATATATTCCTCATAGCCTAGAGTCTTACAAATAAAACATTCTCAAATCAAAACCGAAATGTCAGGAGGCTATAGTACTTATTATGTTTGCTATGTTTTACTAGATATCCACTTCTTTGACCTGCTTTTGCCGGTTTCAGTAATGTTAGGGAGAGTCTAGCCCATGAGGAGTTGAGGACATATGATTGAAACTTTATATCAGGTCAATTGATTGTCACACAAGGAAAAGACATATGTTTGAAAGCGACTTACCATATTTCTACACTGCTGTATAAATTTGCAATGCTGTAGTTTTCGTTTTATTTGTCAGTCACCAACTTATTACAGATTGTTCTTTTTTTCCTTCATAGTTATCAGATATGTTCCATTCCTTGTTATTAACATTCTAATGAAGACTTTATTTTACCCTTTTTCCACAGGGTACCAAAAAGGATATATCCACAGTTGATGACCCGTTTGATGCTCCCACCTATCATATTCCTGAAAAGCCAGTTACATTTACGGAAGGTGCTTCCTACAGTGTTGTAATACTTGCTGGTCTCGGAGTTGCAGGATTGGCTGCTTATGCTGTTTTCAAAGAGCTAATCTTTGAGCCAAAGGAGTATGTTCACTTTATTATTTTTTTCACCTGAACTCTTATATTGAATTTTAGCCTGGAACTCTTATGCATCTGAAAATGTACGATTCAAATGTATAAAAATGCTAGTGTTATTGGGTCCAATTCTATTGCATTAAAGTGCAGAGTGCAAAAACTTGATAAAGCTGGCTAAAAAGACTTAATCTCTGCTGAACTGAGACTATTGGCCATAGAGATTTGTACGGTGTTTTGCTTACGTCACATATTGTTTAGAGCTCACATGACTACCAATACCTTTATAGTTCTCTACCATTTCCAAGTCCAGTTGAAGCTGATGATGATATTCTGATGTAATGTTATGTGAAATGTGCTCAAGTGGCGTCTTCATACTGTGAACATTCCAATCTGGGATGATGGAGATACTTTTAATGCCTTAACCAATTACATGCAAATTCACAATCAAAATTCATATAATCATGTAGTTTTGAGTAGTTTGTGTTGGACAATGTTTTTTATGAGTTAATTTCATATAGAACCCCTATAGTATGGTACTTTGAAACTTATTACGCCTGTATTTTGTTTTTTGTTGATTTTGGCAGATAAAACCCCTTGAGCGGATTTTTTCGACTCTTTTACTCAGAGAAAGAAAACGTTGTTCTATTGGCAATGACCTCCTGAGCGTGAGTCAAAAAATATCATCCAGGGGGTTCTATTTGCCAAAACCGAACTATGGGGGTGATAAGTGTCAAAACACAATACTACAGGGGGTCAATGTGCAACTGACCCTTTATTTATGAAATGTCGATATTTCTCTGTATAGGTACAAGATTTTTGGAAAGGCTCTGGAAAGGGTTCAGCATGATAGTCAGGTTAGTATAAACTGTAGAATGTTCTTGAAAGAATTCATCTAAATATTTTCTTTATCGATGATGTTCTCTAGGTGGCCTTATCAGGTTACTGTCAGAATTGGTTCCCCTGTTACTGGATATGGGTCGGAAAGTAGAAATCGTGCTGCTCGCCAACGCATCCCAAATAGAGTCTGGACTGATGAAGATGGTGTGGAGCATGTTCAGGTAAGACATAATAGACATTTATCCCTAATATAGTTCATTTAATACGAAGGTATGAACTCTCCTCTTTTTTTCGTCAAATTTTTATCTTTGTTCAAAGATATTTTTACTGCTAAATGATCTTACCACTGCCAATCTGGAAAGAAAAATAGAAGGTAAAAATCTCAGAAACCTGGAAAAGCATCTTTAGCTTGCTGGAAATGTCATATACTTTCTGCGTATCTATGTTACTGGAGATTCTTGTGCTTTCTACATCCAATTAAAATTTATGTAGTATTCAAATAAAAGATCTGTCAGATACCAGGAAATTCTATTGACATTGAAGCGGTTAGCGCTCAAAGTAGGATTAGGATCTATATTGCATGAATCGAGGGGAGATGTACCCAAATCTAGTGCATATCAGATACTTGTACCCTTGGATATTGCATATTTAGAAATTATACTGCATCCCAAGTATACCAAATACGTATTTCTGAGACTAGGGAGTTAAAAATCTAATGGCGTAAGTGGTTAAATGATGTTGTTCAATACTTTGCATATAGATATAGTAAATGTTAAACGCTTTCGCAGGTAAACTTCTATATTCGAGGGCCTCGTGGTGCTGGGATGGTGTATGCTGAAATGTTCAAGGACGGTTCTGACGGGAAGTGGAGATTCACCTATCTGATTGTTGAGATTAAGTCACCATCTCCGACTCAATTGATGTTGGAATCTTACGTTCCAGCTTAGAATGTAGAATGTGGTAGTTTGACCTTGGGCATGGTTGCAGATGTTAAGATAGTGGGATTTGAGAAGTCTTGTTAAGGATAAAGGGAGCAGGCCAGTTTTATTTATGGGATGAAAGGCGCAAATAAGTTTGGCTGTTCTTTTTTTTCCTTTTTCCTTTTTTTTGTTCTCATCTCTTCACACGAAAAAGCAATTGCACACTGGCAGAGCATTTGAATGCCAGTTATATGTCAACGTTTCTCATCTTGAACCAAGGCTGGATGGAGGGGCAGTGTCTAGATTTAGACGCAGCGCAATGCCAAATTGTATTCTGGCTACTCTTTTATATGTGATTTTCTTTTTCTTACCCTTGAAAGTGTACGTTGATTGAGGGCATGCAAGTTGAGCAGAGTAAATTACGGGTGATGATGTTTTTGAGCGCAATTTGCGAAATTACTGAATGAAGTGATTGCATGAATGCTGTGATGGAACACGAAGCTTCTAATTATAATCAAATATTTGTGGTCCTAATTATAATCAAATATTTGTGGTTTGATTGGATAATATCCCTCCTGAGCAATTTATCTTGAGTCAAAAGCCTGTCTTGAACAACTAACCAGGCTATGAAGGAATGCTTAGGGAGATTAAGGCCCCCCCATACAATGTTATACCAATTCACCTTATTAGTTGTAGGGGATAAAGCATGGTACAGGCTCAAGAGTTTGATTTTGGAATTTTTACAGCTAGACCTGATTAATGTCATCAAGTTTTCAACTCCACCATAATGCATCAAAGCTCTTTTTCTGATTTTTAAGAGCTGCTTCCACATCCAATAACCCCCAGCCTTTATTTCCACTTACCATATATCCATACGTTTAAGATATGTACCATGAATCCATTTGATCCATAAGCATTCCTTATTTGAATGAATATCCCCGAGAGTCTTCAGAGTTGCTGCATAATTCCATAAGATTGAAGAGAAAATCCTCAGACCTCCATATATCTTCCATGTGCATGTTTTTTCCCATGATACCAGCGGAGTCTTGAAAGATTGATCTTTTTTGCCCCAGAGAAAATTTCTACGAAGCTCATCCACTTTCTGTAACACTTTAGTTGGTAAAACATAGCTTGAAGTCTAGTAAATTTGAATTCCCAGTATAATACTCTTTATTATCTGAATTTTGTCCGCATATGATAGGTTTCTCTTCAGACTGCTTTGAAATTGGTTTGATATTTTGGTGAAGAGAAGGTAACAGCCTTGGAAAGTGAGCCTCTTACTGACTAGAGGGACTCTTAAATATCTAATAGGCATAGGCCCCTTAGGGAATCCCAGCTGATCTTTGATAGTATTCTTGACAAGATCAGCCACTCCTCCATAGAAGATGGCACTTTTACTTGGATTCGCTTCAAGCCCAAATACTTCACTGAAACCGGAGACACATTGGTATAGCTTTTGAATAGAGTAAAGATCACCCTTGTAGCAATATACCATCCGCAAAAATCAAGTGAGTGATTTTTAACCTCCTACACTTTGGATGAAAATTAAAGTTTCTATCCTGCTTCAGAAGATCAAGATTTCTTGATAGGTACTCCATACCCAATATGAACAAATAGGGGGAAAGTGGATCACCTTGCCTTAGACCTCTTTCACCCTTAAAATAGCCATGAAGAGAGCCATTAAGTGAAATAGAGAACTTAGGAGAGGAAATACAAGTCATGATCCTGTTGGTCACAACACTAGGGAAACCCAAGCATTTTAGCATATCCTCTATGAACTTCCAGCTGATGGTATCAAAGGCTGTACGAATATTACGAATATTAATATTTAACATTACTCTAGGGAAGATGTGTTTTCTGCCATAATTTTTCACCAGATCATGTGCTAAAAGAATATTGTTAGCTATATGTCTACCCTTCACAAAGGCACTCTGAGCATCACTAATAAGATATACCATAACTGATTGTAGCCTATTAGCAAGAATTTTTAAAATTGCAACACGAGATTGGTCTGAAGCCAGAGGGGGTACTAGGGCAATGTTCCTTAGGGACAAGAGTGATAGATGTAGAATTTATAGCCCCCAGTAGTTTCCCAGTTTTGAAAAAATCATCAATTGCATGAGTGACTTCTTCACCTATAACAGACCAAGCATATTTAAAAAATGAAGCTCCATATCCATCTGGTCCTGGGGATTTGTTTTCTGGCATAGAGAACATTGCACTTTAGATTTCCTCTTTTGAAACAACTACAAATAAACTCCTGATATGGTTATCATTCAGATTGGGCCCAGACTAGATAATCCTTATGCTAGGATTTGTTGTTGTTACTGTTGTACCCATGAGATTCTGGTAGTAAGAAATAATTTTATTTGCAATATTCTCTCCCTCAGTAATTCTTTCACCAATGTTGTTATTCAGAACCAACACTCTATTTTGATGTCTGTTAGCTTTCAAAATAGAGTGAAAGTAGCTAGTATTCCTATCTCCTTTGATGCACCATTGAATTACGGCTTTTTGCTGATAGAAGGATATCTCACATGTCGAGCTTATTGTAGGTTGATAAACATTCTTTTTCCTGAATGATGAGTGCTGGGTTGAAAGGGTCTTCTTGTAGCTTATTTTGAGTTTCCTCTAATGCATTTTTAGCTCTTTGGACTTGCTCACTTATATTGCCATAATTTTTCTTATTGAGATCTTTCAAGGCACCCCTCAAACGTTTGAGCTTGGTGTAAACAGAATACATTTTATATCCATCATCATGTACTTGCCAAACAGAAGAAACTGTGGGCAGGAAATTGTTATGATTAATCCACATATTGAAGAATTTAAATGACTTTTTTCCTTGCTTTTCCTCTTCATAGATTGATACCAAAGCAGGAGAGTGGTCAAAGAAGTTTGGAGGCAAGAACTCAACATGACTAGAATTATATCTTTGTATCCATGAGTCATTTACTAGAGCTCTATCCAACCTGCACCAGACCCTAGTGACATGATCTTGCTTATTGGTCCAGATGAAGAAATTCCCCAGTGTTTTGAGATGCAAGAGTTGACAATCTTCAATGAAAGTATTGAAATCCTTTACTTCAACATCAGTAAGCATAGCACCCCCCAAGTTTTCCATCATTATTAATCATGGTGTTAAAATCCTCACAAAGAATCCAAGGCACATTCTCTAAGGATTGCTGAAATTGATAAAGATCAGACCATAAATCCTTCCTGGATTCCTGATGGTTAAAACCATATACTGAAGAAACAATGCGGTCTATCTTACCATCAATAAACTTGACAGAACAAGTTATATGCTGAGGATTGAATTGTAAAACTTGAATGCTTAGAATATCAGGATCCCAAAGAATCGGAATTCTTGCTTTTACATTGTTTGATGCATTTGAAACCCATTTCCAATTGCCAGAAATCTTCTTTGTAACTACTGACAGGTTGGATTCTTTTATTTTTGTTTCTAGGAGGGCAATAAAAGGAAGATGATTCTGATATAGATGTTGCTTAACCAAAAGTTGCTTAGGGGATTTGTTCAATCCCCTTACATTCCAAAAGGATAAATTCATCAATTAGTCCCTCCCTCCTATCCGTTGTAGAGGGATCAAGCTCACTCATCATGCTTGCCAATGGAAAAAAGGAGTTAATAAAAATATCCTTTTTTATTTTTCCCTCTTTGCATAAGTATCCAAGGAATCGAATAAAGTTACACTAAAATCTTAGGTTATAAGTTATAACTCACAAAATCGTGAATTTTAAATTTTAAAATTATTTGTCATTAGGACAAAACAAGTGAAAATGGACAAAAATTATTGATTAAAGCTCATGAAATAATAAGTTTTACCTATGCATAATTATTTTTTATTTGGTAGAAATGAACAAAAAACATTGATTGTAGCTCATGAAATCTTGAGTTTTAATCTCTACATAAATATTTATCATTTGTTGAGACAAATAAAAATTAACAAATGTCATGGGTTATAGCTCATGAAATGGTGAATTTTAAAATATGTAAAATAATTTGTGTTGTGCGAGAAAAAAGTGTATATAGCAAATGCTCAACCAAATTATAATATAGAAAACATTGAACCAAAAAGAGGGATTTTTTTTGAAATTTTAAATTAGAAATTTTCTTTTTAAAGGTTACTTGAAAAGATTTCTTTTTAAAGGTTATTTGAAAAGAGTTCTTTTTGTGAAAAAGGGTCTAAAGCGGGCTTATGAATTTTTTTTATTTAAAAGGAAAAGAAAATGAAACTAGAAAGATGGAGAGAGGGAAAAAATAGAAATACAAGTAAGAAAGAGAAAGTAGAAATATAAAATAACAAAACAAGAGAAAAAAAAGATGAAAGAAAATGGAGAGGTGAAAGAAGTAGAAATAAAATGGAAAAACTATGAGAATTAGATAAGGCAACAAAAGATGAAAACTAACAAAACTAGAGACTAAAAGGGAGAAAAAGAAAGAGAATAAAAATAGGAAATTAGGATAGATTTCATTAGATAAATATTATTAAATATAGAAATTATTCTCTTTTTTATTTATTTTAGCATTAAAAAGCATAAGTTATCAATCTAATTAAAGAAAGCGTAGATTATCAAGATAGATTCTAAAAAAAAATTAAAATTTATGCATAGATAATCAATTGAAATAATTATCCTAGAATACTAATAAGCATAGATTATTAAACCACTTATGGAAAGTATAGTCTATCAAGCTAGAATATTCTATTAGCTATTTATTTTGATTGATTAATCTGTACATAAATAATTAAGGTGTAAAAAAGAGCAAATTTAACTCTAATAAATAAGTTGTATTAGTTTCCTATTATTCTAATTATCCTAAGAATTTTAGCCACACATTTATTAAATCATACATCATAATAAAGAAAGCATGAATAAAAAGGGAAGAAAGAAACTAATTATATTATGCAAATAAAAGCAAGAAAATGAACTAACTATCTAAGCATAAAAATAAATCTACTCTTAAATTAAGCAAGAAAACTAACAAAGCATGAAAATTAAACAAGCAAAGGAAAGCATGAATTAAAATCTAAACTATTTTTTAAACATACAATTCTAATTAAACAAAAAATTTAAAAACTAAAAACTCACATTGCAAGGGGCCGGCTCCTTGTATAGACTCGAATTTCTTTAAGTCTCCATGAGAAAAAGAAAATAAAAAAATATGAGAATAATTTTATTTTTATTTTTAAAACTAAAGTTTTATAATGTTTGGAAGGTTTTCTCCAAAGAGGTGCCCTCTGTTTTCGTCAAAAGTTGACTTTGTCATGGAATTCATTATATCTTCGGTCGATTACAACAAATTCAAAGAAATAGTCTTTTTATAAGACTTCTTTTACACAACAAAATAAAAATTACAACTCTTGAGAAACAAACGCAGGATCGTTGTTTGGATCGCTGCTTGCGTGGGATCTTTGCCTGTGCCGGGAGCGTTAGCCCGTGGACAACCGATTCACAGATTCTGATTGAATCGTGAAGGTT